CAATTTAGATGGAGACTGTTTCAAATTGTTTAGTGTGAAGTAAGTGCAACTTGTAGAAGCCAGAAGATGACAACTGAGCTCCGTGTGACTGTTTCTTCACCTAGAGTGTGTGTGTATTACTGAAGCATTTTCTCCTCTTTAGACCAAAGCCTGCACCTCTGACACCCGACTTACTCAAAAAAGTTTCAAGCTTGCCAGAGTCTTGGGACTGGAGAAATGTGAATGGTGTCAATTATGTCAGCCCTGTTCGGAATCAAGGTAAAAAAAATCCCCAAGAATCTAAACTCGGAATAAAATGCTTTAGAGTTCCTTTGTAATTTGCTGTTAACAAGAAAGTTTTTTCTAGTGTCTTGCAGTTGACAGATTGAACCTTTACTATGAATAACCTGTGGGAACTGGGCAGAGCCCTGACTGAAAATATTCTCAAAACAGAAGGTAGTGTTGGTTTATCCAAACAGCACTCACTCTTTGCTGGAGTGAAAACCAATTACCACAGTGCCCTGCATAAAACAGCTGTCAGCTTTGGTCCAAACAGTCGCAGTCATGTCTGCATGATGACAAAGCTGATGTCCATTTAAATTCCTTTTCTCATTCCTGAGTTTCAGTCACTATGAAAATTGTGGACAATATATAATACTTGCAAAAGCAGTGTTTTTATTTGCCTCTGTGAATAGGATGTGTTTACTTCAAAGCAGACTTAAAAGAATGTCATTTTGGTATATATTGATTTTTATAGGGGGTGCTTTTATAGCACTGTGTGTGAGATACCTGGATTAGATAGTTATATACTGAAGACCAGGAGTGGACTTGGTTAATACATCCCTTCCCTGCTACACCAGTTTCCAAATAAATGTGTCTGCTGGTAGCATCTGGTTTCAGATGCTTTGAGGGAAAGGAAATGTAACATTGGCATGGTGGAGAGGCGATCACTTAAATCACTGGTCCCTCATTTATGGTTTAAGTTTTGCCAAATTCAGCCACTGGGACTCCTGGTAGCAGAAGCAGCATAGGGACACTTAATGGGAGTGCTAGCTCAGAAGCTGACATAATGTGTCATGGAAAGATGGAAGCAGGAAACAATACAGTGCTATGCAGATGTGAGTCCTAGACTTTCTCCTGGTGTGAACTGTGAATATTCCAAGGGCTCTTTTACCTTCCAAACAGTCGGACACTCAGACCCAAACTTACCCTTTCTCCATTGTGGTGGTTTGAAGTTTCTCTAAGTGAGACCTAGTCTTGTTTCCAATGATAAAGCTACCTACACATTTCCTGTAATCTGAGGATCCATGAAAACTTTAGATTTTGGGGAATCAAAAATTGTAAAAAAAACCCCCACAAACACAAAACCTCTAAAAGATGACCTTGAGCACAACAGTGCTAACATACAGATTGTGTTTCTTATGGTAGCTTGTATGATTTTCTGAGGCAGTAGATATCAGTGCTTTGTTAAAATGATGGTAGTAGAAAGTCTTAGTTGTATAATGAAGAGTTAGATGACTAATTAGAAAATGCCACGTGGGAGAAGGCTGCAAGCAGGAAGTTGCCTGACACAGGCAGAGAGAATGAATTACAAGATCATGGCTTCCTAGATCTCATGTGCTTCTGGAGTCACTGCTCTTTATCTAAGGAGAAAAAAAATAGTGTCTGAAGTGGACAAGAATCAAAAGGGAAATGTGTGTTCCATGTAGAATACCATGAGACATGGCAGGGTTCATGCAGCTGCAGTTGTCTTGGACTGTAATGTTTACAGTGTGAAAGGCTGTACTGAAGTCCACCTACAGGGAACATCCACAGCCTTTCCCTCATTCACCAAGTGGGTTACCTTGTCAGAAGGGGATCATAGTAAAGTGATGTGGCTGAAGATTTAATTGAGTCTCTAAGAGAATTTGTGGAAAGTCTCACAAAAGGAGCTACTCTTGCAGCTGTGTTGGCTCTCTGCTGATACATTGTGGGCCTTACAAATACCACTGTGGTAGCTGGAGAGAAATTTAATAACCACCCCATCAGACTTCAGAATGAAATGGTTATGGTAATTGCATTTTTTACATTTTAGCACACAAAATGCAACAAACTGTGCTGTGGAGTGGCCCATCCTGGATGCTGTGAACCTACAGTGAGTGGGAGGCACCTTTCACTGCTTCAGTTTGCCCTGCTGGGCAAAGAACATTCATGTTTAGGCTGATTTTGCCCCTTTTCTTCAGAGATACATCTAACTGAGTGAAGGTGCAATTTTGTAATAGCTGTGCTTTTATACACCTACACAGTTCAGGAGAAAGTATTTTGTTTTGTTCCTCAAGCCTCCCTCCTTTTCATAGCTCTGCAACATTTGAATTTCTTCTGCAGGAAACAAGAGGAAATTGGGCACCTTGGTGACAATCAGTAGATAAAATAGGACTTCATCCGAGTAATTGTCCTGCCCTGTGATGCCTGTCTTTCCACTTGTAAAGGTTTTTAATGTGGTTCAGGAAGTTCCTAGGGAGTGAAGAGGCCTAAAACTACAAACTCTACTAAATTTTGATAAAAAAATAAGGAGACTTAACTCTCTGCGAGGAAACAGAAGGAAAATTATGGTGCCTCTGAAAACCCAGCATAAAAATTTCACTATGTGGGAAGGGGAGCTGGGATGAATCCACTAGACTCTCGAATCAGTTATTTTAGGGGTAGCTTTAGAGGTGGAATATTTTTTCAGCTAGAAATTGCAGTATTATATCCACTGATAGGTTGAAATAATCTAAACCAATATTGTCAGTATTCACTTAAAATAGTTAATTGTCTGTTTGGATATGTGCTCCATAAAGGGTTATATTCTGAGGCAGCAGGTAATGAGCCTTCTCAGTCCCGCTAATGTCCCTGAAGATTCATTCTGAAACACTCTTCAGTGTTTTACAGTCATATCACTGAAGAGCAATATATTTTCTCTTACTCTTGAATAAGTTCAAGTGTTCCTTCAAAAGGTGTTAGAACTGTTTTTTTGAATTGTATGCTTAAAAGTTAAATGTATATTCAAAGTTTTTGCTTTATCAATGTTTAAGTTCTAATTGCTGTCTGGTAGGTTTTTCACTCTTTTCAGTGGACTCTAGCAATAGTTGTACTTGAATGCAGGTGACTTGCCTTGTTTATGTTGCTGACTGCTCTTTGTGGTTTCTTTCTCTTCAGGCCCATGTGGCAGTTGTTACTCATTTGCCTCCATGGGTATGCTGGAAGCAAGAATACGTATCCTCACAAACAACACTCAGAAACCAATCTTTAGTACCCAGCAGGTTGTGTCTTGCAGCCAGTATTCTCAGGGTAAGTACACTGGTGTGCACAGAGATAACTTTCAGTAATGACAATGCTGCAGAAGGAGATTGTATATTAAAAACTTCTGTGCCTTCCCTATCACCCACAATTTAGTGTTGTTTTTTTTCATAAACTATCTGGCAGGCTATAATTTATAGTGCTAGTTTTTTAAAAAATAATTCAGAGTTGTCAGCCCACCTTACTGAAGAGGCTGAATTGAACCAAGAGTAGGTGACCTCCTGCTCAGGATGTTACTGGATTTTATACCTGGGAGACAAGGGATATCTAAGGAGTAGGGCTAAAAGTACAGCTGAATTGTAATGCATGCCTAGAAAGAGTGGAACCTAGTATCCTACCAAAAGCATATTCAGAGGGAGAAGGAGCATACAGGGAGGTGGAGATAAGCAAAAACGAGTCAAGATTTCCAAAGGACAGTACCCGTGTTAGGACAGGTCTTTTTGCTGCATGTAAGTAGCTGCTCTTCCTGATGGGGAGTGTCAGGAGTAGTCCATATGTTAGTGTTCCCAGTATCGCTTCCACAAGTATTAGTTCTGTCTCATGTGTTCCAGAAAGCTGGCTGTAGTTAACTGGAATATTAGTATTATTTGGGTCACTGCAGTTTGTATTCAATACTGTATCTAAAAGTCTTCCAAAAGATTTGAGTAGGAGGGTCTCCCACTTCAAATAACTCTCCAAGGGATTAAGTAGATATCTTTTGTTTAGGTTGTGATGGTGGCTTCCCATACCTCATTGCTGGCAAGTATGTCCAAGACTTTGGTGTGGTGGAAGAGGACTGCTTCCCTTACACAGCCCAAGATTCTCCCTGCACTTTCAAGCGCAGCTGTTACCACTACTACACTTCTGAGTACCATTATGTTGGTGGTTTCTATGGAGGCTGCAATGAAGCCCTAATGAAGCTGGAGCTTGTTCAGCATGGGCCAATGGCTGTTGCCTTTGAGGTTTATAATGATTTCATGCTCTATAAAGAGGGAATCTATCATCATACTGGGCTGCAGGATGACTTTAATCCTTTTGAATTGACCAATCATGCTGTCTTGCTGGTGGGCTATGGTACAGACCCAAACAGTGGTGAGAAGTTCTGGATTGTGAAGAACAGCTGGGGCACCTCTTGGGGAGAAGATGGTTACTTCAGAATCCGCCGTGGCAGCGATGAGTGTGCAATTGAAAGCATTGCAGTGGCTGCAACTCCTATTCCAAAATTATAAATGCTGAGCTCTTCACCCAGTGCTTGGTCCCCAGCCCTGAGAACATACTGATTGTTAGAGACTGCAGTTAAAATCTGTCCCCTCACTTCGACAGGGGAGCTGTAATGAAATTTTCCATAACAGAGCAAACAGTTTTTATAGGTGAGAGCATGAACACTGTGAGCTCTGCTCCGTGCACTGAAGGTTTTCTCTTGAGTCTCACAGTAGATCACCTACAGTGCAATGGCTGTTTTAGTACCATGGTGATAGTTATTTGTCACTGGATATACATCTTCAGTCACCAGTTCTGTTTTCTACTGTGGACAATCTTCAGATCTCAGGGGGAAGCATCTGCTATGATAATCTGTAACTACTCAGAAAGGACACTGTAGTGCCTTACTTCTCAGAAATCAGGAACTTTAGAATGGAAGTGTTTACTGGGGAGGTGATGGGCGATTACACTGATTAAAAGGAAATTTTAAAGCTCTGTGTCCTGCAAAAAACGCATGTTAAACTCTTATGACAATAAAAACATGCTCCATTTCAGGCTGTTACTCAATGTTTGAGATCTGGATTTTATTGCTGTGCTTTGCAATTGATGATCTCAGAGTTCAATAAAAATTATCCCACTCCCACACACAAGAAGTTTGTATTTGTGGAAGTAGTTGGTTCTTCATTTCAATAACAAATCTGAGTTTTAAACTTCCTGTCAAGAACTTTAGCAGGGTCTAAACTGGTAAGAAAGGAGGATGAGAAGAAGAATTAGGGACCATCTACTGAGGCCAAGATTCTCACAGCAGCCTCAGGCAAGGTTGTCCAGGAGTCTAGTAGTCTTTCATTTGAATGTGGGGCAATTCATTGAGTAAATTGGCTAATTTCTCAGTAACCCTGCTTAAGTCTCTCTGTTAATCTGTTGTGCTCTGGCTTTCAAATAGACAAGGTAGAAGAACAGAGTTGAGACAAGGTTTGCAATACTTGGAATTAACCAGTTCTTTGTAGATGAAACTGAGCTGCAACACAGTAGTTGGTCTTTGCTGTTCTTCATGTGAAGAAATAAGTGACTTAGAATCAAGTCCCACTTTCATGGGTAGAAGATTATTTCTTTGGTTATAATATGTAACCAATGTACTTAGTGTTTTTATGTATAAAATAAAATCTTAGGGATTTTTTTCTAGGAGGTGGAGAAATGGGTAAAACACAAAAATAGAAAGGTTGCCTGTAATCAAAATATCCCCTTTCATTTAGAAGGGAGAACTCCCTTTTACCTCGGTAGCAGAATTTCACAAGAACAGATTTATTCCAGTTTGAATCTGAGGAGCAGAGTAAGAATAGCTTCATGGTTTTGTTTTCTTTATTTGAAGGCCCTGCCAAAAAAAATAATCGGGTTTAGAAATGTAGAACTTGTTTTGCGAGAATTTGAGCAAGAACCTCAGGAATAGCTCATATGGTGCATTGAATTGTTTTGTTTGAGGGAGCTGAGAAGAGTGTGGGAAAGGTGTGTGTGTTTGTGAGACCCAGAGCCAGGTACTTGTTTCTTCCCATTTGGACTATTTGGTGTTACTGCAAGCCTCCCATGAGGACTTAACCCCTTGGTAGCAGCTGCAATACATCATGAAGATGTACATTCCCCCACACACCTCTTTGCCTAAAAACCACAACCTTTTCTCTTGCACTTCCCCCTCTCTTCTTTCTCCCATAACTGTTTTCCCCAGGGAAAATGTTACTGGAGTGGGAGAGACAGCACTGCTTTGCCCCCCAGCAGTGTATGAGTCCTTTGTATCTGTTGTGTTATTGAGCATAGGAACGGTGTGATGGTTCATGTGCTGATAAACAGCTCAGTAGGTCACCCACTACCTTTTTTCCAGGAATTTATTTTAATTGAATTAAAGCTGAAAATTGCTTGAAAGAATCAAGGATGAAATAAATGGTTGCCTGTGCTTTCATTTAGGAAAACAAGACTATGTTGGCTGCAGTGCTAACAGCAAGCTTCCTGCCATGCTGATACTACAGCTGCACAGCTTGACCTAACTTGGCTGACAGCTTCTCTATACATAAGCAGTCATGTTGACACCAATATAAACTCTCTTGAGGTGCAGGAACTGGCCTTCTTTGTGTAGGTGATCTGCAGGCTTGTCCTGGCACCCATGAGTGTCTGTGGTCTCACTGTACAGGTACAGTATATTTTTAATATCCTATGCACTTAGAAGTGTCATTTCTTAATAAGCAGGTATTTTTATTAAGTTATGGCTTTGGATGAATGTGCTAGGTTCTCGGACTTCTTTAACTTTTCTGATTGTAACATCTGTAGCACTTGAGATTAGCTTGAGAATAAGGATATAAAAGCTAGGTATTTCTTCATATTTTAACTATCAAATTGCTGCTGACTTTCATGGTGCTACAAATACAGAAATACTTGCTATTCACCATGCCTTGTATCATGTTAGCTACATGAATTTTCATTAAGTTTGTGTTATTGTCTATCTATCACTGCTTGTATGTGGCAGCTGCACTGGTACTACCGTGAGGATGAGAGAGCTCTCAGAGCTGTCTGTCACCATCACTGCCCCCAGAAACTATCATGAGATGTACTTGTTTGCCTCTGGCTTACTGTGGTACGTGAGTGTCATGTTTTCTATATTTCAGAGTTGCACAGAGAGATGTCAATCAGCCTGAAGGAGCTAGTTAAGTAGGCAGCATGGCATCTGTGGGTTTTCAACTTTTATTTGAGATTGTGGTTCAAGCAGAGAAAGTACATTCAGGACCAGCCAGAGCATTTCCTTCCCACAGCCTGCAAGGGATGCAACTACAAGAGTTGGTAAATCTTGAAAGTTAGGAGGTAGCACTCCACTCTGTGGTGGTGTGGGCTGGGACACAGCTTCACATGCTGGTATCTTTCCAGCTCCTTGGAAGTCTCGGAACAGGTTTGAGCTTGACTGTAAGGAGCACAGAAGACTGGAAATAAATTACTGCCCAGAAAATAGACAAAATGGAGAGCTGTATATCTCTGCAACTTCACTTTTTTTAAGAGCCTATAGTTTGCTTAGATGGCTTCTACATATAAAATGATGCAGTGAGTTATGTGGAGTAGCTTAAAAGGGCAACAAGCTATCACTCAGGAATCTAATTACAGGTTTGGCAAATATGCCTTGCAGTGAACGAGTAGGGACCCAGTCTATTTAAGGAAGATGACATGGGGGATGATACTTACAGAGGAAATGGAGCTGATCATCAGCCCAGCAAATGGAGATATTAAAAGTTTAGTATGTTGAAAATGAATATATACAGATGATAAATAAACTCTAGTTGTTTAAAAGTGACTATAACAAATCCTTAAAATCTGTCAGGGGCTGTGCTGGAGACTTGGAGCAGGGTGAATTTGTTTGAGCACTTTCCTGGCTCAAGAACTGCTCAGGAAACCCAGTGGCTGGTTTATGAAGGAGACCTGGCTGGACCATGATGACTCCTCCTTGCTTGGTGATCTGAGGACTTGAAACAAGGTGACTTTTAATTTACAAGGTTGTCAGTCTAATTTTGCACTGTAAACTGCATATAAAGCTGGAATTCAAATCATCGGGCTGCTTTAAAAGGTTCTGCTAAAGTCCTATGACCTCTGAAGATTTCCATCTTTATTTTTCAAATACTGGGGTTTTCAAAGTGTGATCAGAACAAGGTTGTAGTTGTTAATTTAATAGATTCAAAGATGTCAAGTGGAGAATTTCGAGAAGCATCTCTTCTCAATTTTTGTATTGAAAAAGGGACAAATGCTGATTTATATTTTTAGGAGAAAATAAAACAGACTAAGAAAGCATTTTTTTCAGTACTTTCAGTTTACAAACAACATCCTTTAAGACGATTTTCAGTTTTCACATTCTCATTGTTCCACTCCTGAACATCAAACTTTTTTTTCCCCACCAAAGAATTCATTTCTTCAAAAAAGCCATTTCTGGTGTGTGTTAAAATTCCTTTTAAAATATCAAAGTTATCAGTGATTTTGGTTTCACCTCAGTGGATGGGTCTTATTTAAGTCTGCTGTAGACAATCTGCAGGAATAGGGTGGCTTGATACAGCTGGGAGTGCCTCTCTTTGGGTTGAAATAAGGTAGGAAATGGAGTGGGCTCTGTAAGGTGCTGAAGTGCACCGTGTAGCACCTGCAGCCTTGGGGTTGTGGTGCAGCAGTGGGCCAGGTGGGAGGTTTGGAGAGGTCTGTGCCCAGGTCTGCCAGGACTCTTTGGGAGCTGTGGGGTGTTCAGGTTGCAGGTGGTCTAAGCCACTGTACAGAGCTGCCTGTCCCTGCTGAGTGTGTCACAGCACACCCTTACTAACGCCCTCATTCACACCACTTCCGCTGAGAGCAAAGTAACACTTGAATTGTAAAATAAAAGTGTACTAGCTAGGTCAGTAAGCCCGTGGGTGCTAACACTCTTGTACCCAGACTGTTCATAGCTAACTGGTTTCTGCTACTGCAGTGCATTGTACGTGTAGACATATATTTAGCTACTTTTTTAAAGACATGAACTCAACTTGAACATTGATGTTAAATTTTGAGGGAGAGCCCAGGCATATTTAAAAGAAAACAACCTAATTGCTTTCCTGAATAATCTGGCCAGCACATGATAACAGAAGTTGGAAGCTTTGATTATAGCATGAAATAAAAACCCATGGTTGGTTACCCCTTCTGAACAGTGAGTTTGAAGTGAAAAGGCTCACACTCTATTTGGCTGAGTCATGGTATCTTGTGTGATGAGAATAAAGTGTTGGGGAGTGCAGCTCCAGCAAGGTGAGGTTTCTCTGCTGGTTGCTATGGCTTCTGGATGTGCTATCAGCTGAAGCAGTGTGTGAGCGTGTGTGTGTATGTTCAGGTTTCCAAAATAAAAAACATCCCCTGGCAGCCGGGAAGTTATTAATGACCTGCAAAATTAGGAGGCAGTCAGGTGCAGTAGATTAACAGAGAGTCAGTTTTTATCAGTTCTCTCTGAATGGCAGGTGGGGCAGGAGAAGTTGCAGCCTTTCTGTACAGGCGGCTATAAACAGGCATGTGCATATGCAGGAATTTTTCTGTATCTGTAAGAAGAAAGGCACTGACAGGTATTTCTACCAATTATTCCTCTTTGCTTCATTTGGATGAACTGACTTGATCCTGCAGATGCCATTT